TGTAAATATATAACTAGTTTGTGATTGATATTTATGTGGATCAAACAAATAACCTATGTGGATCAAACAAATAACCTCCATCTACATAACTAATTAACTCATGTATTTGATTTATTAGAGTAATATAAGCCTATATCAAATTTTACTCGGAGATAATGTAGTATGTTTTTAATTTCATTCCAATGTCTTCATATTGGAGCGTAACTATATCTTGCTAATAAATTTATATAAAAAAAATATTATATTAGGTCGAGTACTATTAGCAATATACATAAATGTATCAATTGCATTAAGGTATGGTACTTTAGGATCAAGAAGGTCTTCATTATCTTGTTAAGGTTGAAAAAAATCTTTTTGAACATCAAGTGAATGAACTATCATTAGACTAATTAATGGATGAGTCTTATCCATATAGAATCGTTGTAGTATTTATTTTCTATATATGTTAATTGATGAATAAAAATGTCATCCTCTAAGTGTTCGAATTGCATGCCGAACAAAATTTTATTTTCCAAAATCTTATATCAAATTATCTTTTTAAATAACTAATGACACTTAGAATCTCTTTAAGAGTTTCAAATATATTTAAATCATCAACGTATACCGCAATCATCATAAACCTCTTTTCGAATTTCTTTATAAAGACACACGGATAAATGAGGTTATTTTTATAACCTTCTTTCAACAAGCACTCACCAAGACAACTATACAATATGCATTCATATTGTTTTAATCCATATAGAGATCTTTGTAATTTAATTAAATATATATTTTGAGAATGTATTTTATATGCTTTGTGCATTTTAAGTCTTTCCGGAACTTTCATATAGATATCATTATCAAGTGAACCATATAAATAGGTTGTGATCATATCCATTAAATACATATAATTTTTTTTATGTGCTTTCAAGCTAATAAGATAACAAAATGTAATTGCATCCATTATAGAATAATATGTATTCTCATAGTCAATGCTAAGTCTTTATGAAAATCTTTGTGCTACAAGTCTTGTTTTGTATCTCATAATTTCATCTTTTTTATTTCATTTTCGCATAAATATCCATTTGCATTTTGCTAGCTAAACATTTTCGGATGTTTTGACTATGGGTATAAAAATTGTTCGTTTTGTAAGAGAATTTAATTCTTCCTATATTGTATCTTTCCATTCGGATCAATCATTTATATGTTGACATTTTTTAATAGATTCGAGTTCGGTATTCATATTCAAAATGTCAATTATAATATTATATGCAAAAAATATTATCAACGAATGCCTCTTTTCGATCCTATTTTCTCATTATATTAACATAATTTATCGACATTTTTTAATTTTTTTCAAGCATTTAAGCTTTTTTTGAAAGCTTGTTAGCATTATATCTCATACGAAACTAACAACCAGCTAGTGTTCAACCATTTCTTTAATTAGGTACACTCCATAATATTAGTTCAACCACTAAAATATTGTCTCATTCACCAAATAAGTGAAAAGTACACATACCATTTAATTATTTTGTCTAATCAACATCAATTATATATGACATCACAATGCCATTAAATAATAGTTTTTCATAGACAATGACATTTGTCTCTGTAGTTGATGTACTATTGACGAAAAAAAAATGGACAATCATATCTTCTTCTTCTTTTATGCAAATTGACTATATCTTTAATTATAAAAAGAGTCATCAAGGCCACAAGTTACGAGTTTTACCTTCTCAACTAGATAACTACTGTTCATCATTGTTTTACACATTCACACAGCTAGATTATAATTTATTCAACCATCATTTCTTGCTGTACATTAATTTAGTCATCAAAAGATTCACAACTCATTAGCAAAACTTGTTTTTGTAGGTAATTCAAATAGTTGAATCATCATCTATCCTCGTCAATTGCCATCTTTTCAGGCATAAAAAATCATCATCCATCATCTCCAGTTACCATCATTTTAACCATAAAAAATGCCACTTTATCAACAATGTTATTCTGAGAATTTCGAACTTATCAAAATCTACAAAACTAAATAATAAAAAATCATTATTATAATTACCTTGTAGTTCAATCCCAAGCTTAATCCGACTTGATCCTATTTGTGTGACATGGATGGTCTTCTTGTTTGCATCTGGTTTAAAGCATGCACATTGCGTGTTATTACATTTTTTTGACGCTATAGTTTTATAGCCATGTAACTAGAATTGTGATCATAACAAAAATCAACAATATATAGCCAAAAGAATTGTTAGATCTTCTTTATCATTTACATCTCTATGTATCTTCTTTGCGGCACTGATAATTTTAATTATTTCCGGTCACGGTTGAAAGGCAAAAAGGCATGCGTCTTTATTTTACTCCTGCTAGAAAGTTTATTTAAAAACTAATTATGCTGGTTTTATTAGAAGCCAATTAACAAGCAATTCTGGCCCTGTTTCAGGTCAATGTGTGTCGAGTGAATTGTAAATTAGTCTATCTATTCTTTAAAAATGATTTAATTAATCGTTTTGGTTTTAAAAATTAATTATTTAGCCTCTTGATCAATACTAATCATGCTTAATTTAATATTATTTTATTTTTTAAAAAAGTAATCTTTTCTTATAAATACTTCCATATTTTTTATTTATTATTTTAAAAAATAAAAAATAAAAAACAAATTGAAAATGATTGAGTTACAAGAATTTTAAATATAAGAATTGAATAATTAATTTTTAAATAAAAAGGAGTAATTAATTCATTTCTCAAAACTAAAAGGACTAATTTATAATTTACTCATGTGTCTTGAATACCCGAAAACTTGTACCAGTCACCAATTTACTATATAGTTTATAGGATGTTCAAACAAATTTAGTAGTTAGTTTATGCCAATTAATAGAAGTATTAAAGATCCAATTTATGCATAATGATGCTAAAAACTAAAGCAAAATAGCATGAAAAAAAAAAGACGAAATATGAGCCATAATATTTGTGGGATTTGTCATTGTAAGATGATGATTGAATCACTCACAATTTTTTTAAAATTTTTTTTAAAAATCCATAAGATACAATGATTATTTAAAAAAAAAACACATGAAGATAAGTTTCTTTGGAGGGAGAAACAATTTTATAACATATGATAAATTATTATACGAATTGAATCCATCACCTAAAATTACTGACCAAATCAATAAAATTTTCATATATCATTAAATTTGTTCATATCATTTTGTGATGAATGCATTATTAATTTTTTCATATTACAATTATGAACGTGCTATTAAATGTAAAAAAAAATTACATTCTAAACATAATTTACTATTGGACAATTTAATAATTATAATAGTTCTATTCATTTGGTTCATGATCTTAATTAACAGATATGTGTCATTAACAATAAAACCTAAAACAAATAGAGTGTTTCTATTTATTTATTATTCATGAATACTCATAAGCTCTATTCATTTAAAATTATTGTATTTAATAGCATTATTGTGATTTTTTTGGCCAGGGGGAAGGAAAGAGAGGAAACCCACATGAGGCCCATTAAAACCATTTTAACTACTTATTTTAGATTCAATTTGTTCATATTGGAGAGAAAAGTTTATTTATGACATGAAATAGTTGGAGGAGAGAGATCAAGATCCAAAATATTTTTGAGTTTTTTAGATGCAATAAAATGAGTTTTAAGATTTCAAACAAATTTTGAGCTAATTGCAATGATTTTAAGATGTTTTAAGGCAAAAATGATGGTAAAATTAGTTTTGAACAGTCATAATATGATGTCTCAATTTTTTGATGAGTTTTTTTGCGATCATAGTTTTAGTAGAAACTGCAGTCGATTGATGCGTCATTTGCCATTTCAAGTCATTTCAAGTATGGCTTAGAAATTAAAAATATTTGTTAAGAAGGAAAAAAAATTCATGTTTTTTTTTTTATTATTTCTTGTTATATAATCAAAACTCATCGAAATCAATTTTATTAAGCTAGCTAATGCATACAAAACACCGAATATTTACAGTTTTTGTAAATGGATATTATGAAATCAATTTCTTTCTCTCTCTCTCTCACTCACACACACACATATATACGCGTGTGTGTGTGTGTTAAAAAAAAAACATGAGATGATACCATCTTTTTCAAATAGAGTTTTATTTTTTTATGCTTGTTATTGATTATTTTTGAAACACACACACCCTTAATATGCATGCTTTTAGAAATTAATATTCTCGTCAATATTCAACAAGGATAATTTTTATGCTATAATTTTTATATTAATTATTATTTTATTTTTTTGATGCAATCTTATGAAAAATATTAACTTTATACATTTTTTTTAGATTTGCGATTAATTGAAATTTAGTTTTTAAATTATTATAATATTTTATTTAAGGATTCATGCAAAAAGAAAAACAAATAATTTTGTAAGAAACAATTAATTAAATAAACGTAAGAAACAATTAATTAAATATAAAATTTTAATTGAAAAATCATAAAATTAGATGAAAAATATCTGCTTTTGATTTTGATATATCTCGCAATATGGCAAGGACCATCTAACAAAAATACTTTCTTTCAAATAATTTCATCCGTTTTTTTCCATCCATAACTTAACGCGCGCAATTCGATTGTAATCTATCTATAAAATAGCGCCACCAAAATGGACTTGGCTTGTCCATACGGTCCAAGCTCACTGCTTGCAGCCCAAGCACAAAGTTGTTTTACGAACACCAAAAGCAACCAGAAACGAAGCTAGAAGAACATAAATCCTCTTATGCCACGTCACTAGGATACAAAATTTCACCAGTCAATCCGTCCACACAAAAGGATAATATCGTTACTTTAGTCTAATTCAAACGACGTGGCTCAACTTCATTTGGAAACAAGTATTGCTAACCAATACCCACAAGCAGCATTTTATACCGCTCTTTCCGTGGAGGAAAAACATTAGAAAAGGCAGCACTTGGACAAAACGACACCGTCTCCCTCCACTATAAAAGGAATCCCACTTCCCCTTCGACCCCGACCAGAAAATGGAACAAAACGCAGCAGAGACACCGTCGCCCAGAGTAGCCGTGGTACTGTTCCTGTTAAAAGACAAATGCGTCTTGCTGGGGCGGCGCCGCTCCTCCGTCGGGAACTCCACCTTTGCCCTCCCCGGTGGCCACCTCGAGTTCGGTCAGTATCTAAAAAAAAAATTATTTACCACAACTTTTAGAAGTATACTAATCATTAATTTGTTTGCTTTTTAGGGGAGAGTTTCGAGGAGTGTGCGGCAAGGGAATTGAAGGAGGAAACGGGTATGGAGATTAACAAAACGGAGCTCCTAACAGTTACAAATAATGTCTTCCTTGAGGAACCAAAACCGTGCCATTATGTTACTGTCTTTCTTCGTGCAACCTTGGCTGATCCAGAGCAGATGCCACAAAATCTGGAGCCGGAGAAATGTTATGGATGGGATTGGTATGATTGGGATAATCTACCAAACCCATTGTTTTTGCCTTTGGATAAAATGGTAAAGAGTGGCTTCAACCCATTTCCAATTGACTAGATTTCTCTTTATTTCTTATGTTAAAACTGGCAATTATATTAGTAATTCCAAGCATCTCTGTACAACTGGCTTTGATGGTTAATGTTGAGTGTTATTATTGGGAATGGATATAATTTCTTTAAAGTAGCTAATCAGGCATGCTAAAAGTTTAATTTTGCCATTGGGTCTTAAGTCTTTTTCATTTTTATTGTTGATTGACCTTGATTTATAAGCATGGTTCCCTTTCTCCGTAGTTGGTGTGAAGTAGAGCAATGGATTTTGTCCAAACTCCAACTTAAACTAATACTATATTAGAAATTAAGGCTATTGTTAACAAAAAAATAATAAAAATAAATGAATACAATGAAGGAATTTAAGGTTTCTCTCTCACTCTGTTTTTTTTTTTTTTTTTGGCAAGTACTCAACCCATCTGCAACTCTTTTAAAGAACATGTCCTTAATTCCAGAATTAATGCAATCAAAACTTTTGCATGTGAACTAGGGCCTTTGAGGCCCAAAGGTGCCTACAGAAAGCATGGGTTTGCCATCGAATGCCTTCCAAGAATTACAATAGCTATATTCCTTCGTTCTTACAGTATCAACATCGGTAAAATGCTTACGTGGTACTCTAGACTCAACCTCCGTTAACATCCCAAGATGTTCGGCCCATTTAGTTTATTTCCCAAATCTTTCTCTGAAGTTGGAAAGAAAGCAATTGGCAAGCCCTTGTATATTCCAGGCGTCTAAAATCTCAATAGCCTTGTAAACTCAAGTACCACAAATACTAATGGGCTTAGGCCCTTTTAAATGCAATTAACAATAAAACTACAAATTTGGGCCTTTTACACTTCAATAAATACTGAAAACTCTGTTTACCTGGTCAATGTTCACTAATAATATTAATGTACTCTTAAATTCACCAATCAAATTATTATTTTTATTATTTTTTAAAAAAATTATCAATATACTTTTTATTAATATTTATTATCTAATAGTTATTGATAATTTACGAAGGATGTGATGGAGGGTATATTGGTAATTGCCTAGAAAAAACTAGTGAGAGTAACACTTTAGTTAATGATTTTAACAGTACCTATAACATTATTGTGATTTTCAAGGTTTTTTTAGAAATTGATTGTGCAAGTTTAACAAATATTACACTTTGATTTTTAACTTTTTCAAAAACTTTTGTTTCAATTTTCAACTTCATTTGCATAGCAAATTGGTCCATGAATGGAGAATGAAGAGAAAAGATAAATATGAGATAAGAGGGTGAAAGGAGAGAGAAGATAAGAGTGAGATCCATTCTGCCTACTTAAGCATCTACTCTTGACTTCAATTTATTCATATTGGTGAGTAACATTTTATTTTTTTTTAATAGTTCTAAATTATGAAATTGTTGAATGAAATAAATTGAGATCTCAAAATATTTTAAGTTTTTGAATTTAATTTGAATTTTTGAATTTTTTACGCACATTGAAAATTTTTTTAAGGTTTCAAATGAATTTATTAAGCTTACTTCAGTGATTTTAAGGCATTTCAGAGCAAAAATGATATTGAAACTATATTCTAGAAGTTGAAAACTAGTGCCCTTGATTTTTCGAAGAACTTAAAGTTACAAGCAAATGATGAGTCGCCTACTGCACATGACGTGAGGTTTATGCTGTCCATTTTTTTAAACAAAAAAAAGTGACTGGCCCGTATCGGCCTAGAAACTAGGCCTAAGGGTGCAAGACTAGCTTGCTTTTTCCTTTTTTTTTTTTATAAAAAAAGTATTTATTATTATTATTATTGAATTTTGTGCAAAAATTATGAAAAACATATTGTTATTTTTTGAGTTTTTCACAAAGCCTATCAAGAAGAAATATGTATAATATATTTTTAAATTTCAGACAGAATATATATTTCAAATTATATTGTTTTTGTTATTTGAAATTTATCCTTTCAACTTATAATTTTTTTTATGAAAATTCTTATCGAATTAATCTTTTATTTATAAAATTTTTATTTGTCAATAGTATTACTTATTTTTCTCTATGTCTAGATTTTTGAAAGAAAACAATTCTACGAGCATGATTATTGTCAATTTTTTAAAAAATAAAAAATAAAATTTTTTGATAAATTTTAATAGTTTTTAAATAAGAGTAGCACAATTTTAAATATATATTTAGGATAAATATATCTATTTGTTCTTTTATAATACTTAAAGTCTCTCACTCGATCCTAAATTTTCAATTTCATCTCATATGTTCCTAAATTTTTTTGAAACATTCAATTTACCTTTTCAATCAAAATTTTTGGCCATTTATTGTTTTGACCAAAATATCTTTTACTAAAATGCCAAAAAAAAAAAAAAAACTTAAAGTCACATGACCTACATGTTTTATTTTTGAAGTCTTTAGATTTTTTTTTATTTCAATTACGGGTATTTTGGTAAATTTTTTTATTTGGTTAGAAAAATTGATCGAAAGGATAGTTTGAACATTTGAAATACTTTTAGGGATAAATGAGATGCAATTAAAAATCTTGAGACACATAAAAGGTTTTAAGTATTATATAAGAACAAATAAATATATTTATCCTTACATTTAATTGAAAAGTTGAAAGTGTATTGGATATAATTGGTCTCAAATTCTTAGAAAAGATAATAATTAACAATTAAAAATAAAAAGTAAAAAAATGAAAATAATTGCTCCAAATGCGAGGTTTGTGCTCAAGGCTTAGGCATATATAGTCTATAAACAAAAAAATATTTATAAGAAAGAAAAAAAATTGAATTCACATATTTTATATTTATTGAAATCAATTTTATAATTATTTTTATTCTAGTCTATTAACTTCAAAATTATTCAATGTGTTACTTTCAAGTTAAGATTTTTTTTTTAATATATTTTATTTTATATTATATGATTTGAACCTAATCAAGACAAGTCATTCATTTTATATTGTATGCTTTGAACTCATTCAACACTCGTGTGTGTGTGTCGTTCATTTTATACTCGTACTTTTTTAACCTACTCAAGCACTCCGTGTGTGAATTGAATCATTCCTATTTATTTATTTAATTTTTTTGGATACTTTAAAATCAATTTATCTTAAATAAAATAATTGGAAAAGAATGTTTTAAAAAATCCATCCAATGATATCCTACTCTTTTAATAGAGTTCTTTATGCTAATATTATTGATTATTTTGTGAATATAGTGTGTGTGTGTGTGAATTGAATCATTACCATTTATTTATTTATTTATTTTTCAGATATTTTGAAATCAATTTCTCTCAAATAAAATAATTAAAAAATAATATTTTTAAAAAGTCATCCAATGATACCATACTCTTCAAATATAGTTCTTTATGCTGATATTATTAATTATTTTGTGAATATAGTGTGTGTGTGTGTGTGAATTGAATCATTAACATTTATTTATTTAATTTTTAGATATTTTGGAATCAATTTCTCTCAAATAAAATAATTAAAAAATAATATTTTTAAAAAGTCATCCAATGGTACCATACTCTTCAAATATGGTTCTTTATGTTGATATTATTGATTATTTTGTGAATAAATATATATAAATGTAATGTACATACTTTTAAAAAATAATCTTCATCAACATTAAATAAAAATAAAAAATTATTTATTATTTATTATTTAATTATTTAATTTTTAATTTTTAAACAAATATATATATTAATTGTTACTTTATTTTATTGATACAATTATGGAAAAAAAATAATTTTTCCAAGGAGAAATTCGTTCAAGGCATTTTTTTATTTTTGGTTAAATTTGTTTTTAACTTATTTATAAATTTTTATTTAACAATCCATACACAAAGAAGAACAAATTATATATTTTTTTTAAGGAAAAAAATTATGAAAAACACGAAGAAGAATGAATTAAATATAAAGATTTGATTGAAAAATTGTAAAATTGAGAGAGAAATGTTTTTACATTTAATTCTATATATTTTAGTGGATCCATAACATGATGCAGATTATCAAATTATTTTTTTTTAAATAATTCTACACGTTATATCTTATTCACAACACAATGATTTTATAAGTTCCAATCGATGTAAAAGGTAATGCGAACAACAAACTATTACAATTCTTATTTGAGAAACATGAAAAAAAGAAAAAGAAAAAAAGAAGAAGCTAGAATGCAAGCACAGACTTGCTGGTGCAACAACTTTGCAGTCCTGGCCTGAATAGAACAGACTCCTTCTAAAACGCCGGAGACCTACCAAACAAAAGCAGGATTGCGTACAGTGTTGGTGAAGGCAACCTTGCAACTAACGGACTTACACGCGATAATCTGATTTTTGCACGCTAATACATTTATTGCACATAATACCAAGGATATATATATATAGTCTGTTGGTGGATGAGATTTATTTATTTATTTTTGATCTATTGAATTTGAATTTTGGAGTTATTATCGAAGAGTTGTCTTATATATATTAGATTGATATGAGTATGTGATTTTAAAATCATTTGAGAAGGAAATTTAGTTTCAGTTAAAGGTATAGGTTGTTTTAAGAATATTTGCGAAACAAAAACAAAACTTATATTGCACATTTTTATGAGTTTAAATATGGTTCAGCATGTTTTCTACACCGTGTGAAACCCAAGATCCCAGCATTAAAGACTTTTTTCATGTTGTTTATTACTTCATGCTCCTTCTCTTTCAATTACTAGTAATTAAACTTCGGCTAACAAATCAAATGGCGCATGTACTGGGAGGACCACGATCTTTAACAACGTCAAACGAGTTTCAGTTCCCATCTTGGAAAACCCTGTCAGCTGGTTCTACAAAATCCTTTTCTCAACTGGTTTCAATACTCCCTCCTCGATTAAGCTTTGGTCACCGAAACCTTTTCGAGAAACAACTGAACGGAGATGGGGTCGGGGTAGAAAGCACGAGGGCTGCTCATTTGGTACCTATAAATTGCACTAAGGAAAAGGATGCTGCAAATTCGGAGATGCCAGTGCCAAGAGTTGGTGTGTTGGTGTTCGTTTTGAAGGGCAAATCCGTGCTCTTGGGCCGCCGGCGCGCCACCATTGGTGACTCTGCTTTTGCCCTCCCTGGTGGCCACCTCGAGTTTGGTCAGTCTTTCTATCAGTTATAAATTTTGTTAATTTTGCCTAATTGAATTTTGATTAATTTGTTTTACTTGAATTCACATAATCATACACTGTAACTAAAACTAAATTAGATGACTGAAATCTGAATAACAAGATCATTTTTTTTTTTCAAGAAATATGAGATTGGTTAAATTGTTTTATTTTCTTAGTTTTTGTTTACCTACCCCGCTAGCCCCCTGTTTTTGCTGTTTTTTTTTTTTTTTTTTTGAAGGAGATAGAGGATGGGTCCAAATAGAAAGAAATCACTGAGGCCCCCAACTAGAAGTTTGGGCTTTTCCCATTTACCCTATTGTGTTTTCTACACACACACACACAAAAGCATGTGCATTTTATGTTCGTTCAAAAACTAGCAAATGAATTCACAAATACTCGGTGAAAATCACCTAATCAGCTCATGTTTTTGGGTCTTTAAGAAACACCTTTAATAGGGAGTACTTCATATTTGCAAAATCAATAATAAACCTGTTTGCTTTTAGAATATCAATGCGTCTAATTCAACCGATTTGTTTGGTTTAATTTCAGGCGAGAGCTTTGAAGATTGTGCTGCAAGAGAAGTGAAGGAGGAAACAGGTTTGGACATTGGGAAGATAGAGATCCTTAAAGTTACCACCAACTTCTTGCATGAGGAACCAAAGCCATCACATTATATGATAATCCTTTTGCGAGCAATACTGGCCAATCCTGACCAGGTGCCTCAAAATATTGAGCCTGACAAGTTTGATGGTTGGGATTGGTACGAATGGGACAGCCTCCCTAAGCCATTGTTTTGGCCATTAGAAAAGTTGTTGCAAGATGGCTTCAATCCGTTTCCGATCGTGTAGTTTTTATTAGACACACCGACTTGCCATGTAGTTTCTACTTTCTCAATTATTGGCTTGAATATTTGGATTTTAATTAATCCTCTTACACCGGGCATAAATTAATTGATCATGCTTAATAAATTTGCTGAAAAGGACCGCATGAAATTGATTTAGTAGATTAGATCCAAGATGTTGGTTTAATCGTTGAATTTGAGTGTTTTTTTTTCGGTAGATTTGAGTGTCCATGGTTAAGCAACTAAATCATAAATTAGTCCCTTTATTTTTTAGAAACAGATTAATTAGTTTTCTGTATTTCAAAAACTAATTATTTAGTTTTTTAACTGATATCGATAAGTTTAATTTAATATTATTTTATTTTAAAAAACATCATTTTTTTATATTTTTACTTTTTTTTTAAATAAAAAAATAAATTAAATTAAAAATGAACGAAAATTATTAAACTACAAGAAAATTTAAAAGATCATAGTTAAATAATTAGTTAAAAAATTAATTCATTCATTTTTTTTAAAATTAGAAGGACTAATTTATAATTTACTCATTGTTAAGCTGGAGTTGACTCTACTCATTTACCGTGTAATTGCAAAACATCAGCTTATTGTACCTACCTAGTTTTTGCAAAACAGACCACAGTAAAGAAAAACGAGGTTAGATCAATACACACACGTGTGTGTGTGTGAGAATCGTTGGATTTTCTTATTAACTTTTGGTTTGTTTTGATTTTGTCGTTAATTGAAGTGATTATTTGTTTACATAGCTATTAATACCAATTTTTCAACCAATTACATATCAAAAAGTAAATTACCTAAATAGTGGAAATATCATATTTAATTAGATTTGACTTAAACAATTCTATATATATGTGTGCGTGGGTGGTAAAAAATCGCAAGCATTGTGGGGCGTGCTTAAAAATTCTTAAAATTATAAATAAAGGTAAAGGCAAACCTGAAGATTAGTTTCCTAACTATAAATTGGTTCTCCAAACTTGAGATTTTTTTTTTAATTGAATATCCCTAAAGTATGATGCATTTTTTAATCCTTAAAGTAGTTTTATTTTTTATGAAAAATGTCAAATTTTCCTTCAAAATGTACTCTCATGTTGCATAATATATTTAATTTAGGCAGAAAAAATTAATGGACATAGATCGATGGCGCAATTTATTTTAGGATTGAGTAGCAGTTTGAGGAATCAATTGATAAAATTAAAAGTGTGGCGACCTAGTTGGTAATCTGTAAAATGGAGGAGACTAAACTGAGGTTTTCTCTAACCATAAACAGTTGTGTGCTGAAAGTCAGTAGCGTTGTAGGAAAATGAAAACTTGTTGGAATCAAAACTACTAAAAAAGCCTTTTCTTCAAGTCAAACATGAAGCCGGTTAATGCCGAATTTATGCATTGTGAAACTTAGCACGTTAATTGTAGGGGTTGCAAAAGCTAAATCTTTCTACTTTTCCAGCATTAATTTGTTTTTGATGGTGAAGTTGCATTGTATCTTTGTATAAACTTGCAGTTGCGAGCAGACTGTTGAATGAATTCAAGGAATTTCGATATGGTCAATATTTAGGAGGTTTGTTCTAGTTTCTCTTCTCACACAGATTTTGATTCTCTTTATACAGCCATTCTGTACAGCTAATTATCTTTCCTGCAAAGAAGAATCTCAAAAAGAAGTCTCTGTTCATATCTAGCTCAAAAATGATTTGTAAATTGTCAAAAAAAGCCAACTGAAGAATTTGATCCTATATAGACCAAGCCATTTTCAGGTTAAGTTTCTTGTCACTGTTGAAGAAAATAGAAAGGTTGAGGCTCTGCTGCTGTTGTATCGTATGTCCCTAATTGTATGCAATCCGGGTGTCAAATTTTCAGATGTTGTATGTTTCTCCTGTTCGATCATACTATAACTTCAGTTGCAACTTACATTAATTAACGTCAAGACCTGATTCTTGGTTCAGTGCTTATCACTATGTTTAATGCTTAATCAGATTTAAAAGATAGGATTTAACCAAACCAAAACAATAAATTAAAATATGTTGAGAATATCCTGGTATTGATGATTTCAAGATCCCAGAAAATTCTGATCGTGAACAAATCAACTAGCAAGCCAACTTGATCATAAGCAGTACATAATATCATGAGCAAGGGTGATAAAGAGAGCATGGAAATGCTGGGTTGCTTGATTACTCCAAAAGAGCTTGTCCCCCCCATGATTGATCACTCGCACGGATGCAATGGCCTCGATAGTTACTATGCAAGTGAATACTGTAGAACAATTCGAAATATTCCAATAGCAGGCAGCATGAGTTTTGAAAGGTCACTTTCTGATAACTTGAGTGGTCCTTCAGATGCACACAGACTTTTCATTTTCTTAGTTATCATGGCTTTTCGACATGCTCGCATTTACATTCATTCAATGACGCTGTCGGTGGCTCTATTGAAGTTATTACTGAAATCAAAATTATTTGAGTTGCTTATTCTTTAATCTCAGTGTTTTCAATGAATAATTAGGAGTAAATTCTTTTAATTTTAGAAGTTAGACTTACACAATAGAATAAACATTTCACCAGTTTAATTACGTAGGTCAACTTACACAAGCAGTAGTTCCATTATCATCACTTTCCTCTGTATTTGCTATAAATAATTCACAGATTATTTATACAAATGTGAAGAACTATCCAATCAGGATGAATGGTGAACATTTATTTGTCTCTGTAACGTTTTGGTTGTTTAGCTATATTCTTTTGTTTATATTAGTGGTGGTTATTTTTTGACTCTGAGAACATCTTGGAGCAACTAAACCCTATTTTTTAATAGTTTTCTGTGTCTGATGTAGGTCCATTTTTAAGTGATATATAGTTATGCAAGGAAACTGTGCTTAAGCATCTAAATCTGATATTAAATTTGTTCAAGTTGTTGGCTTATAGATCATAGTTAGTTGATCCGTGGCTTTGGTCGGTCCCATGAAATCAATGCCATAGAAAAGGTTGGAGTTAGTTTGCTATATGAAACCATGAAATCGAAGGTTACTTCATGGGTTAGGTTTTCTTTTTTTTCTGTGGATGATGGGTGGATTAATCATGTCACCTAAAAAATAAACCAGATTTGACATTGGAAATACTCTGCATCACATGTAGAACATATCATATCATGCAAGTATGTGAGACAAAATTCTCAAATTTCTTTATGCGGTACCTAGCGATCTTTTTAACACCCTAAAATTCAACACGAGAAGACACTCATGGAAGCCACCGTATCTAGCTATCACATTCTGTCGTAGGAACTATAAGTTTATTGGCTCAACGGCTATAGCCATGAATGATTAGATCACTTTGACAATGATACTTAATAATGCAAGCTCTTAGTGAGTGCACTGTTAAACATCATCTTCATCATTGATCATCATCATCATCATGTGAAGGGACTTGGTGGATTCTTGTTGGACCTTATGAAGTCTGTATGTGTAAAGTTGAATTTGTGATTTTATTATGTTACCTTCTCTGTCCACTATTTGTTGACATTATTATCATTCAATAGTACTCCAATCCTCTAAAGAATACATGTGAGCTATCATTGACTCATTGTCGCTGCGTTATTGGAAATAATGTAGACCTAACCACCCTTCCCAGTTATCTAATCCTTTTTTCTAAAAAACAGCTGGACTGCAAAAGCATTCATAGTCTGAAAACTGCCAGAATAACACTCTTCCTGGATGGAAATTAGAGTTTTAAAATCCAAAAAGGCTTTATTGGTCTAGTTCTGATAAATATTCTACATTCTTTGACTTAATCCAATCTTATACAGTCAAATATTTTGGTAATAAATGATTTACCGAAGTATTTTTGGATTGAAAAAGATACCTTTTTTTTTTCATATTTTTCAAGATTTTCTTGAATTTTTTCTATTTTAGAAGTTTTATGTTTTCGTATAAAGCTATATTTAAATACACGAAAAAACATCAAATCAATGAAAATGATTTCTTTTACTCTGAAAATTCAGGATCAGTTTGACAAAGCTGATGCTTTTGATGTAGCTTTAATTTGTTGTAACAATAGCTATCATTGTAAAAAAGTATTTGATTGTATATGTTGTTAAAATGTTTTTATATTATATAAGATTCAAAAGTCTAAAAACTTCATTTTAATTTGTATTTTCAGATTTTTAGCATTTAAATCAATTTTTAAAATTTTACCAAACACTTTTTTTCGAAATCTTTTAATGAAAAAATCCAAATAAATAATAATAATAAAAAAGCCAGAAACTTTGGTTCCTAAACGGCAGCAATACCAAAACAGCATCTTTAGACTAATACATTGTCTGGTTTGGCAATAGGTGATGAGTGAGTGATGAACTTGGTTTTACAGGCAGTATTAAAGAGTCAGGGTAGGAAGATAATAGGCTTTATCAAACTTTAGAAACTCCAACTACCAAAAGTTACACGGCTAGCTACTAGTAAACATCAGACTATAATAATCATTTCTTCCAGCCCAAAAAGTAACAGAGAAAAATAAAAAGATTAGGATACAGAACACAATGGTGGCTAATGGTGGCTGGGTGTCTTGGGTATATGTGCATCGTGCTATGGTGCGAGTGGTAGGAGCATGAAAGGACTAAAGCCGCATAGTTGGGACTTGGGATGGTCCTGGTGGGTACGGTTGGTGTAGCTTTACCTGTCCTTGAAACTGTTTCCAATACAAGTCAGAAGAGTAAGCGAGCAATCAGCCAAGGCACTCTCTTTCTCTACCCTACCCTCCTTATGTCTAGCTTCAACATCCACGCATTGATTAAGAAATAACACGAACCATTGTCTCCTTAAGGTTCCACAATTTTCCCCTGCCAATTTCAAAATCGTCTCTCATGTCTATTTCCATCTTCCTTTTCTCCTATTCTTGTCTCCAAGCTCCTCCAATTCTTTGTTTCCTGTTCTAGTTAGGTGGGGCTGTTCACCATCCTTTTGTCAGGATTCTCTTTGCTACTCCCTCAATTAGTCCCACAAAAATAAAGATATAGAATACAAAGCAAACAAACAAATCACCCTACATAACCACTTGATAGAAGCAAACATATGCCAAAATCTTGCGTCTATCCTTTTATCTTTACCTCTTTCTCTTTTTACTCATCTTTCCTTGTTCTCTAGATTTTCTTTCCCAGATGAAGACAATAATGGCCAAGACTCCTCATGACTCTTCTTTCTCTTTCTCCAGGAGGTATTTCAACTGGAGAAAGAAAATTGTTGAGGATGAAGAAGATGATGATGAGGAAATCTTAACTTTCAACTCCTCCTCACAATATGAGGAGGAGTTGAAAGATGACCAGGAGCTTAAAATCACAGTGCCTGCTGCAGGTACAACTCAAGCAGCACCGAGGAAAAAAACACTTCCGATTTTGGCAGTTTCTAGGCTCCGATCAGCACTTACTGTTTTCAGTAAGAGCCGGTCGGCCCATCACTCAGGTTTAGGTACCAGAGTGATAGGTACTCTTTTCGGGTATCGCCGTGGACATGTTCATTTTGCATTTCAAGAAGATGCAAAACAGAATCCCGCTTTCTTGATTGAGCTTGCAACACCAACGAGTGTACTAGTCCGAGAAATGGCTTCTGGGTTGGTTAGGGTTGCATTAGAGTGTGAAAAGAAGCCAGGGAAGAAAGCGGGGAAGTTGCTAGAGGAGCCTTTGTGGAGGGCTTACTGTAATGGTAAGAAATGTGGGTACGCAACGCGACGTGAATGTAGGCCTGAAGATTGGAAGGTTTTGAAAGCTGTGGAGCCAGTTTCAATGGGAGCTGGTGTTTTACCAGGGGATGAAGCAGGAGGGTCCGAAATAGGGGAGCTCATGTACATGAGAGCCAGGTTTGAGAGAGTTGTGGGGTCAAAAGACTCGGAGGCATTTTACATGATGAATCCTGATGGGTCTGGAGGTCCTGAACTTAGTGTTTATTTGCTTAGAGTTTAATGAGTTTGTACCATTGTGGATCATACAAGTATCAGCATCCACTTGGTAGCCTTAAGCTCTCTGTTGTTTTAGTTTTGAGATATTAAGTCAGCGAAAAAAGATTTGGAGGGTTTCTGCTCCTTGCATTTTTAGTTTTCTTGCAGTTATTTTCTACATTTTGGGAAAGGGGAAATGGGCACATGTATCACGGTTTAGAAATCTTAGGCAAGGAGAGCTAGGTGGCGCTGGGTATATCTACGTATAGATTTTGTTTCTTCTTGAACTTTTTTTTCCCTTTTTTTATCGTGGAAACAAGATGCAAACATGAAGGTTGTGGTTTGTCCTTTTTGAAACACTCATTACATTCCATCTTTTACTTTTGCAGAATACGGAGTACTAGCCCTGTTTGGTCGAAATATAACCTTGGTTAATTTGTTTTTGGGTTCCCTGCATTAATGGTACAATTTGTTTCATTAGGATAAAACACCATTTTGCATGTTAGAAAAATTCAAGTTTAGCTCTAGGATGTCATGATCTAATAATGTGTGTTTCTTTTGTTAATAAGGTGAAACATTGAAAGATGTTGCCCTCATTTGAAACAAATAGGGATGAGTTTTCGAAAATGCAATACCTTGCCCTGTTTAATGTCGCAGATGCTAACATTAAAGGCTCAACATGTTGAGGGATTGGAAAATCAGTCAATTGAAGCCACAGATTATGGACGAGCGAGGATCTTAATCTTAAAGGTCAAGTGATTTTGTAAGCGCCAATGAAACTGAGCTTATAGCTTGCGAACCAATGAGCTCACAGGTTTGCATTCCATTTTCTTAATATATTAAGAAAGTGACCCTAAAACAAATAGGGAATTGGCATTCGAGTTTGCGCAACTTTGCATTGAAATATGGTTCTTGCTTTGAATTGGATCAAGAACATAGAAAGCAAGGCCTTTCATACAATTCAAGTTTGTATGTCTTCCCGAGCCCATGTAAAAGATTTATGCTTGGCTACGAATTCTAAACAATTGCTGCCACATTTTTTATAATAACTACAGCAAGCATAATGCATGGGGATTCAAAGTGGTTAAGAGTCTCAGTTGTAGTACTACTATCATTCGCGTTTGCAAAAGACTTGGGCTTGGCTTGTTTAATATAAAGCAGGCCAGGCTTTTGCTTTGTATGGTTTAATACTATTTTACTTCCTTTTAATCCTATCAAACGTACATTAGTACATGATCCCAACTTTTTTCCAATTCCAAAGGAGCATTAATCCAAGATACATGAGCCTACCAAAAAGCCTCCATTCAAATTTATTGGCTTTGTGACTTTTGAGCCATACTAAGTAGAATGAGTCTTATCTAATGCATAGAGATAATAGAGTTGACACATTTGTGCCCACGTATTAATAAATCGTGTATTTCAAGGGGGAATGCCAACATAATAACAAATTTTCTTATTTTACCTAATGCGAGGTGATTAAATCGAAACCAAACCAAACCAAAATACTTACTTTGGTAACCGTACATAAAATTTTGGAATGTAGAGAAGGGTGCCCAGTTTACAAGAACTTGTTTTTCTATCTGGGTATTTGTTCCATTAGAGTTCCTATTTAAAAATAAAAAAATTGGTGTTTTGAAACATTGCAACATTTCAAAATGAATAGTACTATATAACACTAGTGGTATAAAAACAAATATCATCATAATTTTACAAGGATAACGTTTTTTTTTGAAAAGATACAAAAGAGGAAAAAAAGTTAGATACTTTATTTCAATGAGTATTATATCATTTAACTTTTTTACTTTCTAAGTTTATCATAAAAAAAATTTTATTTTTGAAAATGATATTAATCATCATGCTGTCGACAAGTATTTTCGTTTCAAAATTCAATTTGTCTTCTCACTCTCCCTCTTTAAAACAGTCAATCGCACAGAGCAGACGGCTTGAGTTTTTCTGTGTAGGTCCTTGGACTTAGAATGTTGCTTAAATCCAAGGATACGTGGATACTGAGAATGAAGCCCTTATGTCTTGCCTTGTGTGAAAATGTTCAGATTGTCTGGGCTTAGAGTCTATGCAGAATATGACAGTGTAGTCTTTAGGGCCTGAAGCCGATTCTTTTATCCTGTTAATAAGTAAAAATAGCCCACATAAAAGAAAAGGGCCATCTTTTATCGTTATCCTTTTCTTTCTTTCCTTTTTTTTTTTTTTCCTTAGATTAATCTTTACTTCTATTCACACAAATCTAATCTTGTTCCCATTGCTCAATTCCCGATGATGTTCACCATATTTCAAGCTCCTTCCAAAGATAGGTTATAGTTCTCTTTCCCTATTTATGCAGTAGCTTTTCCGTTTTGGGCTTTTAAAAAATATACTCCCATGTGTGAATTATTTTTGGATACAGAGAAGAGAAAAAAGGGGTGCTCATACATGTGACGTTTACCAAAAGGATTAACGATGTCGAGGAAAGCGAATTAAGAAAGCAAAAGATGTTCGTTTTTAGAACCCAAATTGCAAAGTGACTTTGCTTGTAAAAGCTATAATTAAGCAGCCAGTGTATCTTAAAACAACTGTCCAAAGCTATGCCAATAAAATAACCTGCCAGCATGTGTTTCTTACTACTATATCTTTGTTTTCTCGTAAATTATAATTAACTTAGCCTCCTCATCACTCAAAAGTCCTCAATCTAGTATACTCTAGAGATGTCTTAGCATGTGCAGATCAACTTTGAATTATGTGAAGTTTATTAACAACTGGAGACAGCGCAACTTATGTCGCCATTGTTGTTGCTCCTCACGACCATGGACTAACCATCTTATAGACAACTTACCACGTTGTTTGGCTTTTATTTTCCAAAATTCATGATTGTGATGACCCTCCGTTTCAATAAATTGTGGCTAATGTCAGCTCCAGCCTTCTTATAAACATGTTTCCGTACAATAAACCCCACGTGAACTTGGGAAATTAAGTCCCTTTTTTTACCCCAATCACTAATTAATGCGGGATCATGACTAATTTAATTACTAGCTAGTATGTGACCAAGTATGCACCGACACAGAACAATATTAATTACTTAGCTGGAAAGAAAACTTGGCTGGAATTCGGTTCTGCCTATTTAATGGTATTTGAATTTTTCTTCAAACCTGTAAAAGTGCAGACAATTTCCTAATGTCAAGCAAACCTTGTTGCGAGAACTACATTAAAATCATGTTTCTTTAGTCTATCAGGGAACCACCCCTTTGTACACTTGGAATCAGGATACATATGTTTCATTCCTTAATTAATTGTTAGTGGCAATTAGTTTACGTACTATATCTATTTTCTGGACCCAAAGGTAGCTAGAAACGTATATTTGATCGATTCATGATCCAAACCTTGGCGCAATTTATACATCCAGTATCATTAACCTGAAAAAACTATTCTCATGCTGATAATAATGAAATACGAAACAGCATTATAATCGCAAAATTGTCAATAGTCTCGGTTGCCCTCAAGCCTCAACTTGCTAGTTGTCTGCAAGTAACAGGTTCGCGTTTACGTAAGGATGCAACAGACACAAAAACATACACGAGATTAGAGATGATCGGAAAAATGAAGCTCATTCTTTTTCTACAAAGTGATTGGTAGAAAAAAGGTACTTGTGAATGCAAAGTGAAAATTGGATAAGAAGCATGGGCATAAGTTGAAAAATAAAAATAAAATAAACTATAAATTAAAACTTGTCTCCTTGTGCTGCAAAAGTTGAAACCAGCTAGCTTCAACACATCCATCTCTCGCAAGGCATTGACAAATTGCTGTCCCCCTAGCTTTTCGTGAATTTAGACCCGCGACTTTACGGACTACCCAAAGTCAACCGTTGAAATTTTCATGGACACCTTATTCTGGTCATATTTAGAAACAAAATGGAAAACAAGAAAAAGAATTTCATATCAAATTGGTGGCCTCGCATGACATGCTTTATTTGGATTTACAAGGCAAATGACTTGACATATAATTTTTATTTGGATGGCCATGGCCCATGGATATTGCAATGCTCTATAGCCTAAAAGGATTCGTATTCAATTCGGCACCACAGGAAGTGGGTTATTGTCCCATACTTAAAATTCTATTTTACTACTATCTTTTTTCGGTCGACTAAGTTCCCCTTTTATTTTAATTTATTCGAATGCCGAGGTGGCGTTCCGTGCGATAATTTACGTATCTAATGTTTATTTTAATGGGAATTAGTTAGAAATTTTTAATCAAGGTGACAAATATGCCTTGGTAGATAATAGGATTATTGGCTTCCAAGATTGAATTTCGAGTCAATGCCTTGCACGAGACATTTTAATTTGAGGACTTTAAGACGCAAGAATCTTATTGGATGATTAAAAATACTTGCTAATTGATCTTGTCATTGACATTATTGCGCATTTATCCCCCACATTATTGTGCATTTTCAAGGGGGATAAATGCACCATAACTACACTAATTTTTTAATTTTCTCTCAATCAAATATATAAATTTTAATTTTTTATCAAAATATTAAATTATATATTTGTCCTTTTTTGTTGGAAGGTATTTTTCTTTCAAATTATTTTATTATTTCAAAATTTGATTAAAAAAAATTAAAGAATAATTATTTTTAACTATAAAATTTCAAATTAAACTCAATTAAATTTAGACGTAAAAAAAAACACAAATGTGAGATTTTTTTATCAAAAAAAATTCATCGTTTGTGAATATTTAAAAAAAAATTATAATTTGATATTTAAAAGATAACGAATACATCATTAATTAACAAAAAAATTAATAAAAATACTTGATTTATAATTTTTAAAAAGTATTAAAGTCCACGTACTTGATTGAGAAAATTATAATTTGAAATTTTGAAAGTAATGGACATATCATCACTTAATGAAGAAATCGACAAAAGTACTTGATTAATAATTTTTTAAAAAAATTGATATACTCAAATAAAAAAATTAAAATTAATATATTCGGTTAAAAAAATTAAAAATTCATGTACTTATAATATAATTATTTTTTAAAGTTATTGCAACATGTTAATATATGCAATATTATGTGTCAAATGGCTTTCTATTTGAAGAAAATACAATCAAAGCTAGATATCACCGTTCTACATTCGAAACATAATTAATTATATTCGGAGTGTAAACGATAAAATTCAACTCCTCTCAATAAGCAAGATTTCAGAATTCAAATTTTATATATTAATATGAAATTTATTTAAAAATCAACTTATTTATCACTAGACTAACAACTTATCAGTCCTTATAATATGGTTTTTTATTGCTTTAATCAATAAATCCTCTAAAATATATTATTAGAAGCTAAACTTTGTTAAGAAAATAATTAAGATTCTTACTTTTCCAAGTTGAACAGGGGACTCGAGATTTGGGTATGCCGCGAGGTCAAATCTTGAAGATTTTTTTTTTTTTTTAAAGAAAAACCAAGCGACTTTGAATTACTTTATGATAGCGTTTGAGGACTTCTTCATCTGCAGTATGCCAGTAACTAAAGTAGCTAAGCTCAGATTGACAAAATAAAAAAATAAAAAAATAAAAAAAAATAGCAGATCCAATTTCTGGCTTTTGTGAACAACTGAGAGTGAGAGAGAGATAATTTGATCCAGACTACGTAACAATATCTGAAAATTTTGAAGGAAAAAAAAAATCAACATACAAGACCAGAATATACTAAAATGAGTCATCCCAATTTGATAAATTACAAAGCTAACAAACTTGAAAAAGAAAGGTGAACAAGTTTCTTGATTCACGTTGAAATGAATACTGCTTCATGTCAACTAATAAATAATTTTCTTCTATATTATAATTTCAACCTGTATATACAGTATAAAACTAATAAGAACTAAAGAAGGAAAAAAAAAAAAAAAGGCCCAAATAGAATCAGCTCTTTCTGGCCTGATCTCATTAGGCTTCCTATCCCATCCAAAAACCTTTGTAACCCTCTGAACAAAACAATTTCAAGAACCCAAAATCTGGAATTGAAAAATTAACAAGAAGTATAATTTATAAGAAGTAAAAATGAAGGGCTGTAGGTTACTCAATTCTGTATTGAGTTATGTTTCTTGGATGGACCAGAAGGAGGAATAGGAACACCTTTAGGGAAGAAGTTGAATATATGGTTCCGGTGTCGAAAACTTGTCTCGTACAATCTCCGGTAAGGCTTTATATTCTCCGGTTTCTTCAGCATATCTTCGCCCCTCATTAGAGAAGCACCCGGTCTTGTGGCAGAACAAGAACTAAGAAGAAGGAAAATGATAAAGAGAAGACATGCGACGTTAATAAATGAAAGATGTTTGGCTTGAAAAGAAGAAGAAAAGGAACCCATTGAAGACGGTGTGTTTTTTCTTTGAAGGGAAATTATGTAGGGTTTTAGCGAGGAAGAGACTGAGTTGTGATATTTTTTTTTTACCAAGAGAGGATTATATAGAGAGAGATTTCTCTGTACATATATATATGCATGGGAAAGAAAAAGCCATGGAAAGTGGGAATGTAAAGGGTAGGAAAGAGAGCTTGATGGGAGAAGTAAAACGCACGCTAACCACGATAGGACTTTTCGCTTTGATTTTTTATGTCAACGGTTTAGAATAAATATTCCTAAATATTTGGTGCCGGCAATAGACTTTAGAATTGGATAAAATGCAGTCTTCTTTTTCATTTTTTCAATTTTTTTTTTTTTTTGGGCTTTGCAAAGGTAGATATTTCTTTTTATCATGGTAAATTAATAGAGACTTTTCTCTTGGGAGTTATGAGCTAGCTAGCTAGTAAATTATTTCTTTGCAACCACTAGTCACTTCTATTTACTGGTGTTTTTGGCAAAAGTTTTCAATGACACAACAAGAACCTAAACATATATGCATGTTCGGATGGGAAGGGAATGACAGAATTAAATTATAGGGCACGCGTATCCTTTTTTTCCCAGCTTATATTAATTTGGTTAGGCGAATTTAATCCTCAAATAATGTTGACAGTATAGCTTGGGTTATATTCAGAGAGATCTGTGATGGGATGGACAGATTTATGGAAATAGTTGTAGTTATTAAAAAAGAAAAAGAAAAACACTATTGGTGCCTACTTCCATTGATAACTACTTGACAGAAACTTTTACAAAACAAAACAAATATATATATATTTCTTTTTTTGTGAATACTGACTTGAAGGGATACATGCCATTTGGACAGAGTAAAATGGTTTTTATGCAGCGAGTGCGGTTAAGGTCTACGTAAGTATAGATATGAGTTATTGCTTCATCATTTAATTTCATTAATATCTCACATGCTTAATAAATTAATGAATTATCGATATATTGTACTATAATTGTAATCTTTTGCGTGCGAAACTCTTGTAAGAAAACAAGCTCAATGGGGTCCATTCTAATTCCTTCAGTAAACAATATTCAATCTGAAAACGATAGACATCTGTATTTTTTATATATACATATAGAATCTCAGTGCTAGCTCGTCACAATATATATTATTAAAAATTAAGATTATTAAATCAATGTTATTAGTGTTTAAGTCGTAATTAAGGAGCACAATTTGTGTTCTGTTAACTTGTTTTGACCCAAAAACCTTATATGTATAGCTGTTTCTGGTAATTAAGTATGAAGATGACGTGGAGCAAGCATCAATTGCTGAACAAATGGCATAATATTGTCAAGTTAATGATAGTTGGTGCTTCTATATAATCCAGAAGCAATTCTAGTTCTGATGTCGAATGTCAACTTGATTGGGTTGATCTCACCCGTCAAATTATTATGCTAAATCAGAAAAATAATAAAAATCTAGGTAAATAATTAGGAGGGAAATACATGACCGATTGAGACCGACAGATAGAGCAGGTAAACGTTAACGTAGCAATAAGATTATGGGTATAGAGTTGTTGAATATAAAAATGGTACTCTGAATAATTGTCAAAATTGTATGGTTTGGTTTGTGATTTATGGTGACCGTCAAGACTTCTCCTGCTGCTGCTGCTGGTCTTGCTTTTTTCTTGTACGTGAAGCACACCGTGGTCTTGTACATGGCACATGAAGTCGGTCGTATCATGTGCCACTGATTTCGTAGATTTTTCTTCCTCCTTTCTCTTTCGTTTTTATGATTTATTACCGAATCATTGCTTTTCACGGATCATAATCAAGTCAATTTTTCGGTTCTACTCAAGCATATATAATGAAAACACTCATCAAGATTATGAAAGTTATAATAATTTTATTTAAAAAATCAGACCTGATATTTGGATCACAATGATTTAGAAGGAAGTATCTATTAAGCGGCCATTACGCCATGGTTGCTGCTTTTAGTCCATTTCAAGCCTGGGTTAGCTTGTGAAGGTCCATCTTGGTAAAGTGGGCCGATCATTTTGAATCTCGTGACGTGTCTGTGCATGTTGGGGTCCTTGCCTATCTTCGCAAGGATGAGTAATGGCGTGGGGTATCCTCTCTGTGACCAAATTTCCTACAAGAAAGAAGAATTCTCAAGATCAAGTTTCCAGGAAAAGAATGTACAGATTAGGATGATTTCGATGTTGGTTCATCTGTGTTTTTTTTTCCTTTTCAACGTTCAAAAATTCTCAGCTAAATTTCAAAGGTCATAACTTAAAAATTCTTAGTCGCTCAAACCTTGTGCTAATAAAACGCCAAAGGACCAGGCGTGAGCGACAATTAATTTCGCACCCCGGAATTTATTTGTAGCTTGCGTGGGTATCGTAGAAAGCAAGTTGCTGTGCAACTTCTCCTGCTTCATGGTGGACTTTTCATTTGAATAAATTAATGTATAATTAACCATGTACTTAATTGCATTGGAGATACTGGCACGCATGTTTATCTGCCAAGCGGCATGTATAAAAACTAGGACAATCGACTTTCTTCATCATATCAAGGATATCCTTAATTTTTTTATATTTTTTTTTTATTACAGCAATGGCCAGGGAAGTAGCTAGGATGCAAAAATTCTATCCTCAGACAAACTTTTGGTTTGCAAAATGTGTCGGTGGAATTAAAATCATCCAGAGGTACTAGGAGTAGCTAAAAAAGCATAAAAAATTATCTGGTAATTTTATTCATTTGCACTGTAATGATTAAGTTTCAAATTTTTTAGCTTCTCTTCAATGAATTACGGATTATTCCATTCCATTTGCGTTTTGCTTTAATTTTTGTGCTAATTCAGTTGTTGATGATATCCTTTAATTTCTATGATTGATCATATTTGTTTTGTTTTGTTTTATCTTCAAACTTGAGAATTTGCACATTGTTTTTTATCTCATATATAATGATCATTTCTTTTTTATATGATAAAAAATACTTCAGAGTATCTCTATTTTATCAAATATTTTTCGACCTTCTGTTATATACCCAAATACTTGCTATGAAAATGTTGGGACAATTTTTCAAAATTAATAAAGGATATTCGGATGCAATTAAAAAACTTTTTTTGAAACTTAAATAACATGACATATTCCACATACAGAAGTCACAATGTTATTTGAAATTTGGCGAATGATGAAGTGTAAATGTGCCAAACTACAAGTTGCATCCTCCCTAAAAATTAATTATTCTTATTCAAATGACATCATATTGTAGGAAAATGATACAGGATTTTACTGAACTAACAATTCAATTCAAAAGTTGGCTTGACAATTGACTCTAAGTGGGAATTTAAAAAATTAAAGCATGACAGGAGTTTTCAAACTTTTAATTTAACAAAAATTGAAAACGCATTAATTTTATACAATTAAATATAAGTTAGATTAAGAAAAAAAAAAAAAAAAGAGTCTCAAAATCCATAATTTTCTTTTAATTAAACAGATTCAATTAATGTCAAAAACCCACTTATGAATGTCTGTCTTGGTGGGTTAATGCCAAACGGATCACTTGGGTGTGCTTGGTTAATTACTTATAAGGTTAAGATATCTAACAATCACATGCAAATCTAATCCATGCATGCCCAAAAACATCCTTGCTTGCTCAATCTTGATGCCAACTTTTTGAGCTTTCGTTTTCATCCGTACATCTTCTCCAGGCAAGTTCCACGAGCAAAATAAATAGAAGAGACATGCATACGATATAAGCAATTCTCAGCTACATTCATTGCTTCTGTTGAATTAATTAATTTCCTACACTAAAGAAGTTCCAGCTTTTAATACACCTAGAAATATCATAGTAAATTGTCACAGTTGTCTCCAGCACTGCTTTCTTCCTGTATTAGTATGTCACATGACCACATCCTGATCTAATCTTTGCCTGATTTGAAACATTGTACGTACGAACCTTGGAACGACTCAAAAGGCAAGACAAAAATAAAAATTCAAACGGGAGCTGCTCTGTCAATGGAGCTAGCTATAAATTCAAATACTAGGTACTAGACTTGGTGACAATTTCATGGGCAATATTCTTAACTAGCATGACGTTGCCTCTTCTTCTTCTTCTGTTTTTGTTTTTTTACATCATTGCAAAAGATTGTAAATAAAGATTTAGGAAAAACAGAACGGTACGAAGTGAAATTGCAATCATGAATACCGGAAGTTTATATGCTAAACACTCATCTTTCAATAACTAATTGGAGTACTTGTTTATCCCAACCCAAACTAATATGCCAGTTGCGTCACTTAAGAGGGCATAATTTCATAGTTACTGATTGAACAAAAGAAAGTTTAGTTTTCTTTTATTTTATTATTTTAGCAAGATGTAAGCCAAAGAAAAGCCTTTAAAGGAGTGAATAACATCCAATTTCTTCCTCAGACGTCAGAGTTCAGAGCTTATTAATGTCCCGATCACAAGAAACCAAACCTAGAACAAAGACAGCACGGATCAGCTGACAGAGCTTGTTCATTTTTTCTCTTACTATCTTTCAATGAACCCTAGTCTCAGCTTTAAACACAAGGTCCATAAAGCACTGCACCCAAGCTGCAAGCCTAGCTATACTACCAAAAGTACAGCACGCATCACAGGCTACAAAACTAATTACCCTTTGTATTAGTGTCATGCATGGCTGCATCATGGCCTTGGAAATCCAATAAATAAATAAAATACCAAAACCCCAGATTCCAATTTAGGCCATGATTATCCCACTGGACAAAAATTCCCCTGGTATTGAAAAGGCAACTGCTCGTTAAGGAAGATGGGAAAAATCTAACATCAAAATTACAGTTACGGAGCTTATGTCTTGAGAGATAGAACATAATAAAATCGGCACTTGTCGAAACATAATCTTAAAAATAAAAAATCAAAGAGATTTTATGCCACAGGGCACAGCTTCCTGTACAGTGGAAGTTAGGTTATCAAATGGGAGCCACATTCATTAAACTATAATATATAACCACATAAACTAAATCAACACTTGGATATATATATATACACACACACATATATATGAAAGATCTGTATTGCAGGCAAAGCCATTAGCTGCACTTTAGGTGACAACTGGATAAAAGATAGGGATAGAAAAAAGAAACAAGGTGTATCTATGTTACATCTTAAAGGTTGCTTTCTAGGAAACAATTGAAGAGCTGAATCATCATAAATACCTGTACTAGAAAAACCCACCGAAACCCATCAATAATGTTGATTGAGAATCCCGAAGAGACCATGAAATGGGAATTTTGATCGAAATTGCCTTCGCCTAACTTGGAATTTGTATTAGCTTCAAGCGATGTGACCTCTTGCTGGCATGGTTTTACCCCATATGGAGCATGGCCTGTTGGCATTAACCCAGCTGGGTAACACAGATTTGGATTATTCCAAGCCCCAAAACGCCTACCCATCTTCCCGTAAAACCATTCAGAAAACTTAAGCTCTCCAGTCAGATTGTTTCCATTTAGGTAGAGTGCACTAACACAAGGCAAAGTCGCTAGCTTAGGGGAGAGATTCCCTGTGAGCTTGTTGCCACTAAGACCTAAAAATCTCAACCTCTTCAATTCAGTAATGGACTCTGGAATCTCACCTGCCAAGCCCATGTTGGAGAGGTCTAAGACCACCAAGTTCTGTAGGCTATGCCACTCTAGGCCCTGAAGGTCTCCTCCAATTGGGTTGTCAGACAAGGCCATTTCTTCTAAAGAATACATCTCTTGAAGTGACTTAGTCAATCCACCAGAAAACCTGTTCTTCCTCAGGTCCAAAAGTGTCAAATTCTTTAAGTAACCCATCACCGTTGGCAGGTTCCCTTCAAGCTGATTGTTGCTCAAATCAAGCTTTAGGAGTGAAGTCAGACCCCCGAAAGTCAAAGGCAAAGATCCAGATAGCAAATTCCTACTTAAATCCAAGATTAAGAGCTCATTTAACCCACCAAAATTATCTGGAATCCTCCCATAAAACCAGTTTGCAGCAAGGACTAGCCTCTTCAACTTGGTTAAGTTCCCAACATTTGTTGGCAGTTCACCAACCAAGCCATTTTCTAGTAGTACTAAAGACTGGAGCCTAATTAGGCTACCAAAGCTTGTTGGAACTTTTCCGATGAGACCAGCGTTTGATCGAAACTCTAACGTTTCCAAGTTGCCTGCAAGTTTTTCCCAGTTTTTTCCAGGGATAGTGACTGGATGTTTGTGGGGAGACACAAAGCATTTGAAGAAATTTAGAGACTTTAGGTGCTTAAGCTCAAACAATTGTGGTCTAAACTCAACATTCGGAGCACAATCAAGAGAGTTGTCTTGAATAGGTCCAATGCTTAAGGCAGTGACATACCAAAGCCCATCAAAGAGATCACAAGAGACTCCCTGTGAAAAACAATAATAATAATAAGAAGAAGAACTTGCATCCCATTTTTTGGAGACTTCAAACTGAAAATGCTCATGGTTAACACTTAATCCTATCCAGTAGATGCTGCATTAATGTGGGGATTGACTTTTTTAGAAGCACCTGTCATTATGATAATGATGACTAGGGTAATAACTACAGATCTCAAATATTAAAACCCCTAATCGTACATTAAGTATCAACTTCTTGTGCAAGACGGTTCAGATGTGATGAAAATGTAGCAGTGACAAAATAGTGGATTCAGGATCCACGATACTCAAATTATTCTCTAATGTCACTAAATTGCAGGATTCAGGGTTTTAGCAAATGAAAACAGTACTCAAACCTGCCTGCCATGTGTGATTTCCACGAAACATGTATCACTTGGTAGCATTGTCAATGAAAATTGTTGGTGAGAGACTATCGTTTCACTTCAAATTTGGTCATGGAAATTCCACAACTGTAAATTTAGGTTATGGAAATTTCGCACAATGATCTTAGTTCGGATATGACCATGAATCTATAATCACACCACACCATTATTATGTTTGTGGACAAAGAAGTGGGTGTTTAAAACGATACTAGAGTTTCCCTTTCGACAACATAAATTAGTCCTCCTCAAACCATACTAGTGGACAACTTTGCAACTGTAGGCTTGCATCACAATGGCACAACCTTTCGGTATAACAGAAAAGAAGAGTAGTAAAGGTGTCCAAAACGGCAATATTTTTGTCTCATCTCTCTCTCTCTCTCTCTCTCTCTCTCTCTATATATATATATATATATATATTTTGTAAAAATAATCGGATAATCATGTACTGTAAAGGAAAGAAAATACAGTTTATTAGGTGGTGATCCTTAGGACAATATATTGCAACGTAACAGTAAAGATTAATGGTTTAAAAGATATATATGTACCTGAATAGGAGTCCACCCACAAGGATCTGGATAGAGATCCGAGCCATTCCACCAATGACCTACAAAGCCTTGAATAGCAGAGTATAGAGCTGTTTTTTCAACTTCCTCCATAGGAGCTACATCGTTGTAATCTGGTTCTCCAAAGCACCAAACACCCAAATACATTATGCATAGGGCCAAAATGACATGACTGTTTATGTAAGAACTCTTCATCATGGGTAAAAAGAGAGCAACGCAGAAACAAGAATCTAAGACTAGTTGAGTTAAAACAGAAAATTAACTGAGGATATTAGCAGAGACAATGAACTTGCGCTGAACCAACCCAAGGGAGCATTTTCAAATGAAAAACAGAAAAGTATTTTTGGATGAAGAAGGGAAACAGAAGAAGAAAGATAAAAAGGTGAAGGTGTTGAAGAACATCAACATGGGACCCTCTTGATAGCCATTGACTTGTACACTGTATAGAACTCACCAAGATATCTCCTGGAGAGACATTTAAAGAAAGGCGAAAACTAAAGCAGAACAAATTAAGACATACCAGCAAAGGAGTAAAGAAATGGAAATTTGAGAATGCACTTGTTTTTTCTTGCATTTATAGAAGGGGAGAAGGAAGTAATATAGAAGTGGAGCAACACAGGAGGAGGATCCAAAGCACAACTTTCGAAGCTGTGATGGCAGTAATAGTAATGACAATAATATAAAAGATCCGAACAGGAGTAGCCGAAGAGGCCTTGAACAGTGTATTTCTGAAAACGAAATAGGTCACACCCTTTATCCTTTGATACTCTTCCTAGCTAGATTTAGTTTAGGGTTGGGTATGAATTGTGCAAATTGATTTAATAAAATTTTGTTTTAATCCAAAACTAAAATTTTTAACTTTTAATTTATGTATTCCAACTTCTGTTACATTTTTTCTTTTAATCATTTTAACAAACTAAAATTAATTTTTGAATTATGACTCAAAGTTGAAAATTATTTTTTCCAACAAGCCATGTCAAATATACCCTAATGTCATTATCAAATGAGTTTCAAAGATCGATTTTATTAATTAATTTTGTATCTGACGTAATTGCTTGTTAGTGGTAGTTAAAATATTCCTTTCGATTTTCATATAATTGTTAAATTCTTCTATCAAAAACATGGAAATAAGCCCTAATCTATTTTGAAAAAAAATGTTAATTAGAAAAACAAAAATAATTAATCTTCTACTTTCCCTCATATAAGCGAAGGAGAACAAAGTTTATTATGGTTTGACGGTAAAATTAAGCTTTAGAATAGATTAAGTTATTTTTATTTTTTATGTTTTGGCGGATGGAAGTATTAAATGAGTACTTGTAAATTAAATGGAATATTTTAATTGTCCTTAACAAAGGACGAATAAAAAGATAATATTGCCTAACATCATTTACGAAAAAAATTATTTTTTGGAACTCAAATTGTCACCAGAGTAATTGCCAAGCCTCTCCTAGATTGAAATTAATTACTTTCCATTAACAATAATAATGTGAGGTATAATGATTATTTATTCTTATTGCCTTTCTACTAAAGACGGTTAAAAGGGTTTGGTGGTTGGAGAATTTATGGTAGAGAGAGGTGGTTAAAGAGACGAGAATTAGTTAGGTCTAGGGTTTTTTGTAAGGGTTGAGGAGGGGACCATTGCTTGTTATGTACGTACATGCAAAAACAAGAGATCCAGCATGTAAATGTGATGCAGGCATGACAAAGTTGGGTTTTCTGTCTTGCTTTTCTGTTCTTTCTTTTTGAGCTGCGGTGGTCTTTAACAGTACTCTGCGGAGAGACACATAGTAAAGGACAAAAGAGCATTGAGGTTAGAAAAAGTGGGATCGGGCTAAACTATGGCCTAAGCTTGTAGATAGGTTCATAGTTAGGGCTTTTATCCTTGGGAGTAAATGGGAGCTCTTTGAGGTGCCCATTTTCCTTCTTTTATGCTTCCCTTCAAATCCAGATTATTTGGATTTAATCATATTTGCATACGAATTATTATTCAAATTGATTGGATCTTAAAATATGTTGTATATTAATTGGGAAAATGACATGCATAATTTTGCTAAGCAGAAATTATGTTTGTAGATCAAGATATAATTTTTAATCCTTCGTATCACTTGCAACTTTACGAGTTTTTGCAAGTGATTTATTTTACTGTAAAATTTATCTCATCACTTCGCCAAATAGCTAAATAATCCATGATTGTATCTTTTTCAGTGTTAATGAAATGCTAGTAAATATGGGACCTTAAATATTCGTACTTAATGTGTAATAATTCTTTTCTCGTCTCATTGTAAACCTAAAGCAACTATATTTTAGCACAGTTGAGACCCAAAAAAAGAAGAAGAAGAAGAAGAAGCAAGCACCTGTTGTTTAGTTTGAGGTTGGTCAAATAATGGAGGGTTTAATGCTTTTAGGGGAAAAAATCAATAATGGAGGAGTTAGAAGTTTGAATTAGCTTTGGCTATTCCGAGGGTAGACTTAGCCCTGCTGAAATGGTAAATCCCTATCAAGACAACTCCATGGCATTTTTTTCTCAAAACAAATATCTAAATTAATTAAGGTTACGTAAATCATTGATTTGTTTAGAGGTCATAAAACTTAAATGCCAGTAAATTTCAAATGGAACCAAACCAACACCCACAGCACCAATAGTTTGCAGCTAATAATAATTAATGACACAAATATACTGATAATTGATGATGAGAATAGAATACCTGATAACGCCATTAAAACGAAAGTGACAAGACGAGCCTCCGCCTCAGCCTCCCTAGCTGAATCATAAGATTTGGAACTTAAGGACAGGACATAAATGTAGTAGGCTTAGTCAGAATTAAAATGGGTCCATCTGGCGAAGAAAGCTACAGAAGCCCTCAACCTCAAGGTAATTTAGTAAAGGTGTTTCCTATAGAACAAGGGATAGGATCGAGAGCAAAAACAGCAGTAATTGCAATTGGAGGCTTTCTTTGTGGTGGTGACTGGTGTGGTTGAAGCATGAACCACACCATCTAGTTGGGGTTGGGAGGAGATAACAAGACTAAGAAGGCATAATAGCCCACACTCTACTTAATTGTTTTGGCAGGCCTATTAACAGCTTGAAATGTCCTTCTCTATGCTGCCTTTTTAGAGAAAGTTGCGGGCTGAGTAAAGAAGGCAAAGTGCCTTAGCTTTCGCATTAAATTTAAATAAATTACTAACATCATTACTTTATCTCTTTGATGGATGATAAAACTTCCAAGTTCTAATTCATCATTGACGCCTTAAGCCTGTTGTCTGTTCTTTAAAATTAAGCGAACTGACCTTGTGCAAGGCATCAACAGTGGAGGACTGAATGATAAACCCACGAACTATCCAAATTGATTTGACTTCCCTGGGAGCAAAAGAGGAGTTTCCATCCAAAAGTTTAAAATATATTTGCAATTATTGCAAATATGAATTTTAGTATTACGTTTCAGAATTAGAATGTTGGGTGCTTGTTACAACTGAATTGAATATTAAAATTTATATACCGAATACTGAAAATTTACTAAAAAAAAGTCAGGTCAGTTTAGATTTGAGAAGGCACCACTTGCAAGCCATTTCCTAATCACCAAGGCACCAACGAATACCAACCATTCCCATAACAGGACATCTGCATCTGTGTTCTGGCGTACGTCTTAAGAGACTTGGCCATCTTCAAAATATGAAGGAAAAAAGAGAAAAACAGCAGCACTTCTTCGCGTCCAGGTTACCATCAAATTGTGTCAGCACAACATGCAACAAAGTTCTGCAATTTAGATGAAGTTTCTCATAAGCAAACAGTCACTGGTCACACAATGATTTTGAGCCCCAAGGTGCAATAACCAGCGGAACCCATATTAACCAAGGCACTGATCGTTCCAGAACAAACAACAAACCAGAGCATGAAAATTAAGCCACTGGACAGGTGTTCGACAAAAGAGAGCTTAAAGCACTTATTTCAGAAATACATGATAGTAACAGAAAATCTGGATGTTAAAAATTGAACCACCAAATTACTGCTACATGAAAAATCAACTAGGACTTGTACATCTAGACTAGAGACCCTTGACTTTCTTCACTTCCCAAAAAATACACAGGAAATGGAGAAAGTGCATGGGAATTTTAATGAGAAGCTCTGATTTCCAACTACATCACTATCTAGGCATTGATGAGGGAGAGAGAGAGAGAAGCAAACATTATGTAGTGAAGAAGGTCCAGATCTTCTTTCCTATTGAAACTTCACCAGGATGCTGCAACTCATCTTCATCATAGTCATCTTCATCCTCATGGATTGTGCTGTCATTTTCTGCTTCATCCTCATACTCTGGTATACCATTTACTTCCTCACTCATCTCTGTAATTCCAACCGATTTCGCTGCATCAGCTTGGTCATCAACATCTGCTGTTTGGAACTGCAATACAATAATTTAAAAAGAAATTATTACAGCTGCAGGAAAAAATATTTAACCAAGAATCATAACCAAACTACTGGCCAGCTCCACAAGAGCAATAGAATGTTACCCTGACCACCTTGTCCGGTGACAACTCCACACTTTTCAGTGTCGTAACATTCACCGAGTTGGAAGGTTTGTGGTTCTCACTAGTGACTCCAAGTGACAGCACAGGAGCAGTTTCAGTGTTTCGAGTCGGTTCTGCAGCAGCATCACCATCAGCTGTCTTCTCACCCTTTGTCAAGTCAGATGAAGCTTGGGTGGCCAAGGTCGTGCCTGCACTGCTCATAGTTGAAATGCAATTATCAATATCGCTTGTTGTCAATTGAAATGTGCAAATAGTTCTCAAAAGAAATAATAAATAACGAACAGATACTAATGATGACTACATTCCATAAGCAAGGGTGTACTGATGTTTCAAATCAACAACCATTTCTGTTCAACCAAACCCCCAACTGACACATGGATAACACTTTCCATTTTACAGTAAAAATGTTGAAGTGTTTAATAGCATTCCCAATTCAGTTCACTATCAAAAATTGTTTTAACTTTGTAAAATGCAAAGATCTTTAAACTACAAAGAGTTACTCCAATCTGAATGTGAAATGAACTGGTGATCGAGAAAATAGCGTAATGTAATAGCAAACATTCCTACCAATATAGAATTTAATTTACTGCTCTTTTTATTCAGAAATGATCTTAAATGAACTATCGGAACTTCATAGATTGCAACTCTCAGAGGAAAGCCTACACGAGTGTATCATTTTTTACATTGTTCAACACACGAACAGCTGATGGGGTTTGAGAATGAATTTACGCTGGGGGGTCTCTTTGTCCATGTGAGCAGACTTGACCTATTGCAGGTAGTTAAAAACTTTAGACCCAAAAACACCATAATAAATAACTTGCACTTTTCACCCAAAAATAAATCAACAGCCATCCCATATGATTTTCTGATTTCTCAAACACAGTTTTGACAGCACATAGGTGAACTGCTTGGCGTTATAAGATTTTGATATTTGAATCTCGTATGAAATGACTGACCAAGTAAAAATTATATATGAAACAAACAGCCTCGTTCTCTCTCTAAAACTCCATTCAATTGATTCAATCTTGAAAGTTTCAACCCAAACAACTGTACTCATCTCACCATGTTTAAAGCTATTAAATTGCTGTCATCAAAGTACATAAATTCTTGTACAAAAAACTAATAACTTACGTCTTATGTCGTCTAAGATTGTATCGCTTTTGCCCTGGAGTAGGGGCTGCTGGAGCCACTAGTTGTTGCCTCTTCCTGCGCCCACCAGCAGTGACACTCTCTGAGCGTCCTTCGCTGTCACCAACATCCTGCTCGCTTTCTGTAGGTACACGTTGCCGCTTTCTTGCAACATTGCTAGCTGACTTCTTACTGACACTTGTACCCCGACTTTCATCGCTGGTATGAGAAATATCATTAGGCTGAACACTTGAATTATGTTCAGTTTCTTCCAGGCTTTCCCCAATAAACAACTTTGCATCCTCAACCACTGCCTTTACTGACCGTGTTCTGCCTAGTCCAGCCTTCTTTCTCCTCCCAGGTTTTCGCCTTCCTCTCTTCAGCTCTGACTGCTCAGAATCTTCTGGCATGTCCTGCATCTTACTATCCATATAGCTTTGATCGTCAAGAGACACAGAATACCCACCACCTGCACCTTTTTTAATTCCATCAGATTGGCGGTGCTGAATGTCAACAGAATCATCTGCAGTACCAAAGGACACCCGTGCTTCATCTACATGAATAGCACTCACTTTGACAGCTTCTTTAATGGTAGATCCCTCAACTCTTTCTTCCATATCGACACACAAAGGTGATGAAGGGCACCCTCGCTCAATAGTTGGAGTAGAAACATGCTGAATTTTTCTAGTAGAGGATATGCTGAAAATCTTTGAGGTGCATTTGCGGAGCCAAGATATATGTCCCTGAGAATTGGATCCCAAATCTTCCCCAGGAGATCTCTTGATATTCAGAATATCAGAAACATCTACCCCACCTTCATCATTCCTAAAAAATTCATCAGATACCTTCGGTAAAGGAATGTTCTCCCTGTCTTCCATGTGCGGTGGTTGGAGATCAGAAAGTACAAACTCCCTAGTACCATCTCCACAATTTTTGCAACTCTTGTGCTTCTCAACAAAAGAAAGAAAGTGGTTTCTTTCGCTGATAACCTGCTCTCTTTGTTTCTGAAGCTTCTTGCTAAGAATCCCAAGCTCATTGATGTCTTTCTTAATTCCATACTGTTGTTCTTCTAGCTTTTCCTTGTTTTTTACAACTTCTTGTCTTTCCTTGTCCAGTGCACGCCTTTCAGATTCTATTTCTTCCATTTCCCTCTGAGCAACTTCTTTTAAGTTGTTAATAGTGTTAAGTTCTCTCTCCTTCAGTATCCTGAACCCCCTTTCCCTTCCTCGCTGCGCTTTCTCCATTTCTTCCCGCCTATTTATTAAACCAGTCTCAAAATTACTTCTCTCTGAGTCAAAATCTTGAACCATTTGAATGTGCGCATTTTCAGCCTTTTCAGATAAAACCAATTGCTCGTGCCTCTTTCTGGCTTCAAATGATTCTTTCTCCAGTCTGACAGCCTCCAACTCTCTCTGAGCATACTCTTGCATTGCATTTTCCTCTTTTTTCAGCCTTTCTCCCTCAGCATTCTTCATCTTTTTTAATCTCTCTCTCTCTCGAACAATGTCCTTCTGCTCCTTACTAATTTGAGCTCTTTTCTCTTCCAGCACTTTCCATTCTTGCTCAAACTTCACCCTTTCCAGTTCCAAATCTTCACCTTCTTTCAAAAGTAACTCCACCTGGCGCCTGCGCGTCTCTAGCTCCTGTTTCAGTTCAGCCTGCAAGCGAAGGTATTCTGACCTCTCGTTATTAGCTATTTTAATGTTTTCACTCTCTTCCCCGATCTGCAGCTCCTGCTGAGCAATTTCAGCCCTCAGCTTCTCACAATCATCTTTGAGAAGTTGCACACTAACTTCATCAGAAAGCAACTGCTTCTTCTGCAGCTCCAACTTTTTCTGCTCAGCCTTCATAGATTTATCTTTCTCCTTTACAACCTTCAATCTTGCATCAAGGTCCTTCTCTTTATCCTTCACCCTATCAGACTTCTTATCCAACGCTAGATCTTGCTTTCCCAACTTCTCTTCTCTGTGAAGAATTTCTGTTTCATGCAGCTTCACCGCATCAGCCTTGCTTCTCAATTCTTCTTCAAGATTCTTCCTTTTCTTTTCCAGTTGCAAGTCGGCCTCCTGAATTTTGGCCTCCAGAATGGTTCTGTGTTCATCAAGGAGTTCTTGGACTTCTACCTGTATAAAATCCCAGAAACATAGAATTGTAAGCTAATATTTCATTTATCTAAAAACTGTTTCGGCGCTGTTGCACAAAAGATAACACCCCACCAAAAAAAGGTCTGCTAGCTATTTAAACTAACAAGCTTTGATTAATAAAATGATCACACAGTGATGCATGTGGCTTGAGTACCCACCTTTCCATCGAGGACATTAAACATATGCACTGAAATTGTTAAAAAAAAAAAAAAAGCATCTAGTACTCGAAATTATATCTGTAACTTAAAAAATCTACTTGTTTCTCACTGCAGGAAAAAGGTCGTAACTTATATTTTAAAAAGTTGTCGAGCAGTAACCATTTAGGAATTTAACAGCACAATTCCAACACAGAAGTCTTAAACACAATTTTTCTTCTCCATGATTGGGCTCAAACCTTAAGAATTTAAGCTTGCAGTGTTCCTATTCTGAACAGCTCACATAAATGAAAAAAAACAAGTTAAAAAAAAATCAATGTTGAGGAGTCTTCACAAGAACCCATGATGTAGACCTCTCTTCATATCCTTTTTCCGACTTAAGAAGAGAGCCATTGCTCAGAATCTGTAAAAGAATGTACATACTCTAAATTCAAAGAAAATGAAACAGCAAAACTCTAGATGTATAAAGTACACAAATGACTGAATGCATACACAAAGTCTAACTTCTAAAACAGCCATAAAATTTTCCTACAAAATAAATGACTCGCATCTTTAAGTTCACAAAGGTGCACATATCTTTTTAAAGCACAGTATCAGAATTCAAAATAAGCTGAATGTTGACGTAATTTAGAAGATGTAGTTCATAGCTCATAATCAGAAAAACAATGTGCCTTTCATGATTCTCATAACACATCCAACAGTATATAACTGCTTAAAAGGCATCGGATTCTCTGTATATCCTATCTTACCCAATAGTTAAGAATCAGGTTTTGCAACTCACTCTTTCACGAGCACTAAGCTTTTCTTCCCAAGCAAGCAATTCCTTCTCTTTAGTCTCTAGGGTGCTTCTCAGAGAATCCGCTTCCTGAAAAAAATAATAGATGATAAAAATTATGCAGAAAACCATTGGCATATCAACTTAGATAAAAGGTGTTAAGAAAGGAAACCCACCTTCTCTTGTGTAACCAAGTCCAATAGCTGATTATTCACATCATCTTCCCTCTCCTTCAACTTTGCAAGTGATAAATCAATCTTCTTTTCTGCCTCTACAAGATCTACCTCCTTCTGATTGAGAACCCTCTCATTTTCATTTGCCTTTTCCTCTCTCTGACTAAGGGTTCTCTGAAGCTCACATAAGCTCTCTTCCCCTTTCTGCAGTTTCCTTTCCCATTCTTGCAATTCTTCTCTCTGTTTATAGAAAGTTGCCTTGTGTGCTTCTCGTCTAAAAAAAATCAATGAGATACACTTGCCCTATGAGTCCCATATCATGCTTAATATATACAAAATAAAAAAAAATCAGAGAGAGTAATGAAGTGCAGTGTAGAGAATACTCTGTATTAAAGGAGAGGCGCTCCCTCTGAAGCAAATTTTCACGAGCTTCCACCTCTTGCAATTTCATATCCAGCTCTGAGCATTTCCTGTTAACTTCAGCAAGCTTGGATTCAGCAATGTGCATTTTTTCTTCCACCTCCAAAGATTTCTCTTCAATTCCAGCAGCTAAAGCTTTTGCATCAGCCAACTTTGTGTCAGAAACCTGCTTGATTAGCAGGTGCTCCTCTTGCAAGTCATGCAAAGCCTTTTCAAGCTGTAGTAAATAGAGGTGTAAAATAAGTATCAACAAAAAAGTTTCCATAAAGAGATCCAAGAAACTGAAGCAACCAGAAAGAGCATAGTGAGAAACAATCACAAATATCAAGAAATATTCCAAAAAACAAAATCCAATGTGACCAAACAAATTAAAGATTGTTCATCCTCTTCAACAATATAATTTCCTCAACTACAGAAAAGAAGAATAAACGATAGAAAAGCAATGTGACCTCCAAGTACCAATATAGATCATTAAGTCACAATAACATTAGTGTACAAAATTTCCCTCCCTCCCATATATCTTGCTCTATAATTTTTGCTTCATCCAAACAGGTTAAAATGTAGATTTCTTAACATTTTTCATTTCATTTTCCTCCTCTCTCCAAGTCAGCAAAGCACAAAAGGAAGCAAACAATTTATTAATAAGAAAGATTCAAAAGAGAGACCAATAGCAAGAAACAACATACTTCACCCACACACTGCTTCTCAATACTCAATGCTTTTCTTAAATTTTCCTCTCGTTTCTCAACTTCAGATAAAACAATTGAGTGTGCTGACTGCTCACGTTTGAGAATTTCTTCAGTTTCTGTCCATGCCTGCCTTAGCTCTTCATTCTTTGAACTCCACTCCTTTTTCTCGATCAGGAAAAGCCCCATGTTATACTGATAATCAAAAAGCTGTGCCAAAAAAACAAAAGAAAATGATAAATAATGCTGCAGATTTCATAATTTTTTATTCGGGACTTTTCACCAGTAAATTTGTAATCTATCACAGGGAAGATAAAAGAATTGTATAGCATGAAAAATAAAAAATAAACTTTTCAAGCGAATTTACTGGCAACTTCTCTATTTTATTTCCTTAAAAGTACCATAGCAACCCAAAAGACGGATTAAGAAGACATTGGGATCTTTCTCAAATATTGAAAAAAGAAAATGTGAAAAGTTCGGTGAAGTATTTCAAAAAGAGGAAGAATGAGCAGGGAAATCTTCAGAATTCACCAAGAGTGCAAAGGTGGACAACCAATGATTCAATGAAACCAAAAGTAGTCTCTGAATCGCATTCACATTCTTTATAGTCCAGATCAATTTACAAATAGTGGTAAAACACATCAAATGACAAAATTAAAATGGACTCTTTTTGAACTACTTGATGAGATGCAGACAACAAGAAACCATAGGGGAAAAAAAAAGCAAGTTGAACAGTTGGACCTATAGACTAAATCTGATGGACATCAAAGACATTATACAGCATTGGACCACTATTACACCAACACATGAGTTTAGCTTATATATACAGTCTATTATAAATAAAATTCCCTAATAGAATCTTATATTTAGGTCTCGCAAATTTAATTAAATGCTTAGTTCAGTGCCCTAAGAATTCTAAAAACTGTTACAATAAGCATAAAAAGTGTTCATTACCCGTGTCATACTTTAAATGTCCTGTTATCTTTATCAGTTGACCTATGGACATTTACCCTAGTAAAAGTAGTGAACTCTATTTTTTATGTGCCTATTTCCGTCAACCTTGGAGAAAAAATAGAGTAATCTGAGATTTAATGAAGAGAGCAATACTTCAGAAAACACTTCAAAGGCATTAAAAATGCAACTTTATTCAAGTTCAGTATTGGCTAAGAATTCAAAAGAAAACACAAATAATTATTCCCAAAATCAAACTACAACAAAAAAAAAAAAAAACCCTAGCTTTAATCAATTGAAGCCAACCATAAAATTCTTCCAAACGAAGCCACAAAACACAAATATAAAAGAAATTTCCCCAAACTCATAAAAACCAAAACCCACTAACAGAAAACCCAAACTAACCTCGTTTTCCAGCCTGGAAACCTTCTCTAAAAGCGCCTCCCGGTCCTTCCTCTCCATAGTAGCCTCATCTAACAAACCCACCTCTCTAAACCTCCTCCAATCCTCCATACCTTCCGCACCCAACTCATCCCCATTCCCACTCAGCGATCCCACATACGATGGGGGCGGAGGAGGCCCATCAATGAAAGCCACCGCCTTGCCCTTCGCCCCAGTTCCAGGGTTAGTGGCCCCCGCATTAGCCCCGCCACTTTTGTGCATATCACTTCGAGGAGTTAAAGTGATTGCCGGTGACGGCCTCCTAAGCGGCGTGAACATCGGAAAACTTGATTGCTAAATCGGAATAAAAAAATTCGACCCGAGAAAGATGGTTTTTTTTCTCGTCCAACGGAGAGTTAACGGATTTAAAGTGAAATTGAGATCGTTGATGAAACCCGAATCTTGAAATTAGGTTTTCATTTATTATTTTTTTTGGGTTTGATTTTCAGTGAAGAATAGAGAATGTTAAACGAAGTACACTCGCGTTCGTTGATCATGTTACTTTCTGTCGTTGCTTTGTCTGGTGTTTTATATGAAAGGGTAGTTGTGTCACTGAAGTGATCCTATTTCTAGCGGGTTGATCGTATGAAACGTCCTTCTACTTTACTGATTTTTTTAATATTGTCCTTGTATTTTTTTATTCAACCTCTTTCTGTACTTTTCAATTTTTCTTAATATGTCTCCTCTCACCAAAATCCGGTTAATGATAAAAAAAAATGTCATGTGGCGTGACACTTCACAAAAAAATTTCACGTGGCAATTATTTTTTTGTGTAAATCTATTTTTTTCTTTGTTTCTTTTCTTCTTCCTCATCTTACCGAGAAATTTTATAATACATGAGGAGTAACTAGTAGACGTATACGATAGCTTACTCCACTGAGTCCACTTCTGAGGAGAGAGATAGACACAAAAAATATTGAAATTACATCCATGCCCACCGAAAGTGATAAGAAGATTTACACGTCCACTCAAATTTTTTTATTTTCTCTATCCCGCTTTTCTCTCTCTCTCTCTCTTTTGTGTCTATCTCTCTCTTCAAAGTTGGCTCATAGAGTAACTACCGTACATGCCACTAGTTACTCGTACGGTAGTTACTCCTAGTGTATTATAAGATTACTCTCATCTTACCTCCTCTCTCTATTATCGAAAATCACCGTGGCTACCACCTCATTTTCTTCTTCCTCCTTTCTCTTTCTTCGCCAAGCAAAATCATCATGTTTCGTTTTTTTTTCCTACAATTTCAAAAACTATTAAGAGAGGAGAACAAAAAAAAATGTTAATTTTCTCTCTTTCTCCCTTCTCAATCGTCTCCTTCTTCTTCCCCATCTCTCATTTATCTACCTCCTCCGACTACGGTCTCCCTCCAACCTTTGTTTTCTCTCACCTTAGGAAATGACTTGAAAGATACATCACAATAGAAAGCGTAATAACATTTTACGCTCATATGGTTGAATTTGAGAGTAAAAAACTAGCTTGTTATACGTGATCCTATGCATCTAGTATAAGCAAAGTAACATTCTTTTCTTTTCTATGATATCCTTCCACATTGGCGATTAATGGAGTGACACAATCCCATTCATCATTTTTTATCTACATAAGCCAAAGCCCATAAGCACCGTTTACGTCTCTAACATAAATACATGACGGACGTATAACCGATACAGGATCTTAGAGATTCATGGGTCCGTAAATCTAAAATCTCGGGATTATAATGGGCTTCAACACCTCACCTCGCTTGGAATTTTAAAGATCCATGGATACTATTATCTTCTCTCCTTAACAAAAGAGGGGTTACCGTCCTCCTCTCTCTCTCTCTCCTCTCTTGAAATGATCTCTCTTATAAATCTAAAACCTCTAAATTATAAGAGGTTTTAACACCTCACTTCTCTTATAGAATTACAAATCCATATATGCCCTAATTTTCAGTCCTTTTTGGGAAAGGGTTGATCTTTCTCTTTTTATACACTTAAAATCTACAATTTAAAAAATCTAAAAATCTTTAAACTATAAATGGTTACGGGACCTCATGTCTCTTCGAGAATTAAAAATCAAGTTATGCCCTATGCTCAAGTTCTTAATAGAAGAGGGATAACCATTTTCTTTTTCTTCTTTCAAAATCTACAGCTTGTCCTTTGATGGAGGAAAGGTGTGAGAAGGAGAAACGGGATTATTGGCCAAATATTTACCACACGGGATTATTGGCCAAATATTTACCACATTTGAGAAACGGGATTATTGGCCAAGGATTTACCACGTTCCCTATATAGAGATTAATTATCGCAAGATCAACTAATAAAGAAATAGGTGAGTCTATCTCTCATGTACTTAATTGAAGCTTTGAAACAAAGAGGAAAAAAAGAAATAGGATGATTTTAGTGACGGAGGAAGAGAAAGGAGGAAGAAGAAGATGAGGTGGCAACCATGATAATTTTTTATGATGGAAAGAGGAGAAAGACGAGGAAGAAGAAAAAATAATAAAAAAAAATAGATTTGCACATGAAAGAGTTGCTTGCATGAAATTTTTTTGGGATACGTCATGCCACATGGCATTTTTTGCCATCCGTGAGTTCCAATCGAAAAATTGGTCGGATTTTGATGAAAAGAGCCACATTAAAAAAAATGAAGAGTACATGAAGGGGTTGAATAAAAAAAAGTACAAGGGTCACATTAAAAAATCAATAAAGTTGAGGGACGTTTGATGCGACTAACCCTATTTCTAGCTATTTGGACTTAAAGCATAGTGTAACGTTTCACAAAGAGAAGGACATTCTTAGAGATCAATTAGAAAAGCTAAATTGATATGAAAGCCTTTAAAAGACTATAATGCATTGGAAAACCTTTTAGGTTGTCCAAGAAAAATCTACACATATCCTAAAGAATTTTAAAGAGAGTTTTTTATTACATATATAGATAGTTTTTTTTGTAAATAATTAGATAGAATAATTTTAGACAATCATTTATAACTCTTAGATTAAATAGATCATAGTCATCCATTAAGGAGGTGAAGGATTATATAGGTAAGGCTTTTGTTTTACCAAACCATCCTATAGAGAAAATCTAGAAAAGTGTAATTGAGAGCTATAAGCTTTAAAGAAAACAATTAAAAGAGTTTGTTTTATTATCTCTTGTGTTTGTCTTTCTTACTTTATAGCTTAGTGTGAGAGTTATTCCAACTCGGCTCGACTTAAGCGATAAGGGAGCCAAGTGCCGCACTAGACTTTGAGAAAGGCCGAGTCCGTGATAAGTGGCATGAGAGCCGAGTTCTATCGAGCCAAAGTGGTATCAAAGCTAAAGTGTTAGCTAAGTTTTCAAAGAGAAAGCATTTCTAGCTCTAGTATTAAAGATGCTTTTATGGACACTAAGAAGGAGACTCTACCTCCTCGACTTAAGAAGGATAGAGGGAAGTATAGTAACGTTGGTTACCTTTGAGGAGCGTCTCGTAATAATGGAGAAACACCTTATCGGTTTTAAGAAGAGACTCGAAGAGATAGAAAACAACGATGAGGACTCTATGTATGATAGGCCTACGTAATGTTAGGGGTGAGCATTCGATTAAACGGTTCGGTTTTGTACGATTTGGTTCAGCTTTTGGTTAACCGAATTAAAAAAATAAAAATCAAAACCGAACCGAAATAAATTCGATAAATTCAGTTTGTAACCGAATTATTTCAGCTTGGTTTCGAAATATTTCGGTTTTAACCAAAATATTTTGTTATAAAAAAAAATCATTACGGAGAGATATTTTATACTAGCACTTAGTCCACTAGCCAATGAAGTAACATATTGTTATCAATTATAAACAATCATAAAGCCCTCGAAGATTTTAATTAAGCTTTAATGAAAACGAGTTCAAGTGTAATAAATTTGCTCATTCAAACACGTTGTATCCTAATTAATTACACTATGTCACTTTCTTTTCTTACCCCAACGGTCCTCAAAATTTACTTCCCATCCGTGTGTTTCAGTTTCAACAAGAATGAAGATTGAAAAGTTAGGGATTTAGAAATTAGGAAATTTTTTACTATTTATTTCGGTATTCGATCGAAATCAAAATTTTTTTTCTAAAAATCGAACCGAACTCGAAATAATTTCGATTTTTTCGATTCGGTTTTATATTATATAATTTTATATTTAAAACTCGAACCAAATTTTATAATTCGGTTCGGTTTTATTCAATTTTTGGTTAACCAAACCGTTTGCTCACCCCTACGTAATGTATCCGATCTCTAAACTTGAGTAGAGTCGGTTGAGAGGTATGCCAAAAGATTACCGCCAAAAATGATGCCTTCATGAAATGGATGAAGAAAATATTCACACAACGTCAAAAGTTAATGATGAAGTACGAGCAAACTTTTGAAAAAGTTAAAAGAGATTAAGTAATTTTCCAAGAAGTTATCTCTAATGGTCTTGTAAAGTCTTAAAGAACACGTCAAAAGTTAAAGTATCAAAACCAAGGCACTACACTAAGTGGATGGGATGCCAAGGAAAGTCGATCATCTTTTTTGGCAAATGGAGCAATATTTCAAAGTAGTAGGCTTAAACAAGGATATGATTCATGTCTAGATCGGTGCTTTTTATCTTACGAAGGATACTCGTTCTATAGTGATGTATAAAGCACCAAGAGCTTAAAGATGAGAATTGTGAGTTGCCTAGTTGATACAAATTGAAAGAAGTTCTCTATGCTCAATTCTATCTCAATGAAGCTAATTAGAAGCATGGGATAAGCTATAAATATTGAAGTATATGAGAACTATTCATGAATATGTTACAAAATATGTCTCTCTAAAATTTCAAGTACATAACAAACCTAATTATGATCATATGTATGATTTTATCAAAGAACTTTAACCATGGGCACAACAAGAGGTGTAAGGTAAATGACTTAAGACCTTTGTTGAAGTTATGGTCATAATTGAATCTCTAATTGAACATAAAAAGAAGGTATAACCCTTCAAGTATAAAAGAGGTTTTAAGGATAAATGTGGGGAGCTACGAGAAAAAGTACAAAGATGGGCAAGACCTTTGTTAAGCTCGTGGTCATATGTATGATCATACATAACTATGATCATATGTATGATTTTATCAAAGAACTTTAACTATGGGAATAACAAAAGGTGTGAGGTCAATGACTCAAGACCTTTGTTAAAGTTATGGTAATAATTGAATCCCTAACTAAACACAAAAAAAAGTATAACCCTTCAAGTCCAAAAGAGGCTTTGAGGATAAATATGGGGTGTCTACGAGAAAAAAATACAAAGATGGGCAAAACATAACACACA